TTAAGAGAGGAGCAGGGCAGGGAGTGAGGGGGAGGGGAAGGAAGGGTGGGATGGGGTGGAGGCAACTATTGGGAGGAGTGGAGGTCGGAGTGGAGGTGTAGAAGGTATAGGTAATGGACTAGACAGTGAGGTATGGACTGTGGTTTGGAAAGGGTCTAGGGTGATCTTTGAATAGAAGGCTGGGGAGGCTGTGCCATCATCGGTATGTGGATGGAGGGTGTTGAGTGTGGGCAACAATTTGGCAGGAATATGTGGGGTAATAGTGGGGATGGGTCAGGGGTCTGGAGAAATGTGGGCCATGTAAGGACACTTCTCTGGCCCACGTTTAACCCACTATATCGTCATTTGAGCTAGAAATGTGGCCTCTTCTCTGTCCCAGTCCCTTCTAGGAAACTCCACATTCAAATTCCTGGGCAGTGAGCTTTTGTAGCCCCTCCTACAGAGGAGGCTTTGTCCTGATTCCCAGAAGGCGGCTTCTTGATTGCCACTCCCTTCCTCCACCCCAAAACAGGGACCAGAGCACCTTCTCTGCTCGCACCAACCCTGGGTCAGGGAGGCTGACTGTGGGCCTGTGAGCTTGGATGACAACAGGGACCACTGGCCAACTTGGGGTTCCTGCCTTTTGCCCAGTGCCCTGAGCTCCTTGCTCTCAGCCCCAGCGTTAGCCCAGGAGTCTTATTTGGCAGGAAAGCTGTGGCAGGTGGGAGGAGAGAGGAAGGCAGCAAGGCAGAAACAGTTGCCAGCCAGCGTGGAGGAAGAGCAGGGACCCAATGGATATGGGCAGAAGGCAAGGCACTGTCTCGGGCAGCCACCCGCACCGCACTGCCCCCCCCCCCCCCCCACCCCCCCCCCCCCCCCCCCCCACCCCCCCCCCGCCGCCCTTGTGTGGGTATTAGGTCTCCTTTCCCAGCCCTTCCTGTTCAGTGCTGCTGTTTGGGGAGCAGGCTCTGCTCAGGGCTGAAACTCTGGGCTGAAAGAGACCTCAGAGGTCATCTGATCCAACTCTGCCCATCTGGAATTAGAGTTTTCTCCACAGCATTTCCTCCAGGGGTCTGCCTGAATCAGGCCAGACAGTTGCCGGGAATAGGAGCTGCCCTCCTCCTAAGGCAGTCTGGTCCCTCTTTGGAAGAAAACAAAAACCCAACTGTTAATTGAGTGACTCTGCTGGGCCAGAACTAGGTAATTTGCAGACTTCTCATTAATAATGACCTCACAGGGCTGAGGGTCATTTTATAGATGAGAAAAATGAGGCTTTGAGGCAAAAACGTCCATAGCTCAAGGTCACATAGATAGTAAATGAAAGAGTTGGGTTTGAACCCAGGACTTTGTAACTACAAAGTCCCCTGGGGCTAAGCAGGATATGCCTCTTCTTTTGCACCATGACAATTCCTCCAAGGTCAGAAAGCAGAGACCAAAGCCTCTTCTCCAGGTGAAAGAGCTCCTTCAACTCTGTCCAGGAGAACCTGGGTACCAGCCTTCTCCTGACCTGCTCAGTGTGAGACCCAGAACCAAACACACAGCCTTCCCTGTGGGTTTGGGCCAGTTCAGAATAGGGCAGAACTATCACATCCATCCTTGGCACTGACCTTTACTGTTGTGACCCAATGGCTGGTAAGAGAGATGAAACCTATCCTTCTCTTGGGCTTCTAGCTCCTATTGGATCAGAGCTATGAGAGAAGAGGCCAGGGATCTGCTCCCACCTCCACCACTCCCCTCAATCACAATGCCCAGAGTTAGAAGGGGGAAGGGCAGAGGTGAGGGAAGAGGCAATTTGAACCAGGGAGGAACATGGTGGGGCTGGGAGGATGGAGAGCTGTGGGGAATCAGGTGGTTGTCCAGTAACCCTAGACAGGGCCAGGAGGGCCATGGGAGGGCATGGAAAGGGTTTTGGGGTATATGCACAGGGAGATAACAGGAAGTGGAGCGTGGTCTTGGGGTTGGGAGAGGCCAGGATGGGGATGGGCATGGCCTAAGTTAACAGCGCCCTGCTGTGTGAGAGGAAGTCAGTCGCACATTAAGCAAATGTTGCAATTGGTACTAAATTGGGAGGTGTCGCAGGCAGCAGTGAGGATAGGTATGCTTCATGGGGCCCTGTGTGGCCCAAAACAGGGGCAGATATCACAGAGGGAGAGAACAGGGTTTCTGGGGCTGCCCAGGAAGGATCTGACTGAGACATTCAGGACAGGGTCCTAAGGATGGGGGTCACTTGGCCCTGAAGCTGATCTAGGCGTGGATCCCAGAAGTAGAGGAAGCCCCCTCATTCTGGCCTGGGGCTGTGGGTTCTACATCCAGGAAAAGCTTTGAGGATGCTTATCCACTCCAAGGGATCCCATTTGGGGTTGGAGCTGAACAGGCAGGCTCAGAGTAGGGGGGCAGGATCAGAGATTGGCAGAGAAGGCCTGGGATGTAAGTGGGACGATGGAGTGAAGAGAGGGGGTTGCCGGAAAGAGGAGGGCAGAGTTGTCTTTTCCCTTAGTGCCCACAGTACAGCTGGAATCGAGAGCCCTTTAGGTCTAGGCCTCCCTGGAGTGACAGAGCATTGGAGAAGGGTGGGAAAGACACGAGGAAAGCTATGGAGCTGGCACTGCCTGTCTCCTGGCACAGCAGGCAGCAAGAGAGCAGGCAGAGTTCACCTGAGAGGGAGAGGGAGAGCAACAGTGACAGGGAGACAAAGGAGAGGAGGGAGGACCCTGGCCACTGGGAACTTGATGGGAGGCCCTGGCAAAAAAACATAGACTTAGCACCAGAGCCTGTGGGTTGGAGGCCTGGGACTCCTGCTCATTAGCTGAGTGATCTTAGGGCAAACTGCTTGATCCCCTTGTATCTCAGTTTCCTCATCAGTAAAGTGGGGATAATGATGCCAGCATGACCAGTCTCCTTGGGCAGATGTGATGGAATAATATATGGGAGAGAGGTTAAAACCCTAGCCATGACACCAATGTCAGGTGTTATATTATTATTTCAAAATACTGTCAGCTACCTCTTTCCATTTGAATCTCTCACATGAAAGACTCAGAATGTGGGCAGAGCAAGGGTTATTATTCCTGTTTTACAATCAACCAAGTGAAAACTTAGAGAAGTGAAGTGATGTGCCCAAGGTCACACTGTTAACAAGTGGCAGAGGCTGATAAGGCCTAAATCCTGGAGATCAGTGGTCTTCTACACCAAACTGCTTGGTAAAAAGCATCAGCACAAGTGATTATTATTTAGTGTGGGATCGGACACAGCTTGAAGTCAACTATAACATGGGGAAAAACTCATGGGAAAGTTGTGGTGTGGTCTCTCATTCATTCTGGTAATTATTGAAGAAAAGGAAAGTTGGGACTGTGGGGTTGAATTGAGGGCCATAAAAGACCCACATTCTTTATTCCTTCTGCTAGTGGACCATGTCTTTCTGTTCCTACCGAATGTGTGGATCTGTGGCTGACACCAAGGCTGTGTGTCTCTAGCTATATGACAAAATGTGTCCTTCTTCATGTGACAGGACTTCTGCTTTTGGGTCTCTAACATTGTGGTAATATGTACACGTGTGACAGGGTGTCTGCTTCTATGTCATTGCTTGGTGTAACAGTACCTCTGTATCTCTCTGTGACTTTGCCCTGAGCAGTGGTGGTGGTGTATGGCAGTGTGTCTGTGTGTATATCTGTCTGTATACACCTTTAAGAAATGGAATATCTCATTTGGTAGTGTGAGTGAGGCAGTGAGTCAGCTGAGGCTCAGAGAGGCGGGAGGGAGACAGCTAGGTTACGAGAACAGGAAAAAGGAGAAGGAGAAAGTGAAGTCAGGAGCAAGGAGCTACCCCTTTCCTCCCCAACCCCCGCGCCTAAATCCCTAAGGAGCCCACCAAGAACATGGAATCCTGCAGAAGTCTACAGGAGCCGTGTCGGACGGAAAGGGGCACTTTCTGACCCTACCCGAAGCCTTGGTGAGAGACAAGCTAGACTAGGGGACAACTGTCTCCCTCTCCAGCTCTCAGCCCCTCAACTTGAGCATGGGTGAGGCCACCACCCCACTCTGTCTCCTTGTCACTTGACCCTTTGACCTTGCTGTTCTCTTTGTTCCCAAAGCCAGGCCACCTGGCCGGGCTGAGCCAACAGGGCAGTAGCACCGTGTCCCAATTGTTTACAGCCCCCATACACCTACTGTCCAGAGCGACCCTGCTGAGGGTCAGGAAGTTTCTCAACTCAGCACTGCCCTAGGCAGGCCTGTTCTGCAGTGGCCTCGTCTCTCTTCTGGATTCCTGTTTCCAGCAGCCAGAAAGTCAGCTGTCCTCCCACTGCCACCCCTGGGCGCTGGGAAGGCACTGGGAGTTGGGTAATGCACCAACCTTCAGTGGCCCTCCCACAAGTCGTTGTGGTCTGTTCCCAGCTCCTTCTTTTGTCACAGGAAGAGGAGCTGGCAAGCAGCTTCTCCTTGGGAGAAGACAGGCAGGTACCCCTGGGCTCCACCTGCCTAGGCTCTGACCGGCCACCTCAGGTCATATAAGGTCAACGCCATGGTGTTCCCCACCAGCAGGGTGCCCCTCTTCCAGTCCATTCTCAGGGACTAAAGGGTGAGGGCTAGGTTGCCAATATTCTTCCTTCTGCCATTGGCCTTCCCCCTGCACCAGCCAGTTCCAAGACTTTCAGTTCCAGCCCAGGAAAGGAAGAGGGCACCGCTGGCTGAAGATGGAGGCTGCAAGAGCCAGATCCCTCTTTTCACCCCTTTGCCAGCCTGGGACCCGTGACCCCTCCCTGCTCAGGCGGGGCGGAGCGTCGCGCCAGGAGGCCCCAGTCAGACCATTCCCAACCCGGGAATTAATGGAAGTTGGCCAGGGAGTGACCTGACCTGAATCCCTGAAGCCCCTTCTCTGGGGCGGTCCCAAAGTAGCACGGTAGTGCAGCACCGCGAACAGTGGGGGTGATAGGAGGAGGTGTGGTGGCCAGAGAGCTAGACCTCCTTTTTTCCCCCGGTCCCATCGCCACCACTACCGCCGCGTGGCTGCGGACGCCAGAACCTACCTTACAGCCTTTCGTGCAGGACCGGATTGAATACTCTTCCGCCTGTAAGTATTTATGCAGCACGAGGTCGAACTCGTCATATTTTTCCTGAGCATGTCGGTCTAGCCGCTGGTACGCCTCGATACAGTTGCTACACACCTCCCAGGCCCCGGAGCCCGGGCTGGCCACCACGGCCAGCAGGTCCCCCAGCAGGGTGTCCAGGCTGCAGTCCAGGCTGTCGGGGCGGTCCATGCCCAGCAGCAAGTCCCAGACCGTGTAGGTGTCGCAAAAGGAGAGAGTGAAGTTCCGAAAGTGGCCTTTGAGCAAGTTTTTTTTGGCGGAGGAGAACTCGGCCGGGGCACGGGAAGTAGAGTCAGGGGGCCGCAGAGGGGGGGCTGGGGTAGTCGGTTCGAAAAGTCTCTGCAAAGATTGCAATTTGGTGCAAGCTGCGTCCAGCCCCGTGGGCTCTGGGACGCCGCCGCAGTCCGGCCCGGGACCCACGGCGGGGGCGGCTTTGGTCAGGTTGCTGTATCGGGGACCGCAGGTGCCCGGGGACGCGCTGGGATCGCCGGGCGGTGGCGGCGGCAGTGGCAGCACCGCACGAGGAGGAACCGGCTGCCGCTCACGGTCGGTCCCCCAGGGCGGCCGCATGGCGCTGCTAAGCTCCCTGGCCCGGGGCCGGGCCCCCGCGCACAGCCACAGATGGTCAGCGAGCAGCACGGTGAAGAAGAGCAGGGACGCCAGGGACAGTCGCCATCGCTGCGCCCGCTCGGAGTCGGCGCAAGGTTTGTCGCTTGGCCTGGGAGCCCAGCAGCAGCAGCAGCAGCAGATAGTCAGCGCGGCGGCGTCTTTCCCGGGCCACATCCAAGCGCCCCTGAACATATTTCAGGGGGGTCCGGGCTGGCGGGAGCAGGCGGGCGCGAGGCCGGACGGCAGTCTCGGGCGGGCTAGCGGGCTGCGCGCCACTCCTCCGCGCTCCTCGGCGCCGTCCAGGCTCTACCTCGGGGGCTGCATGGTGAGGCAGGCCGGACGGCCCGGGGCCCCACTCAGGCCGGAGTCGTGGGGCGCTCTCGTGCCGTCCTCGCGCCCCTCCCGCGTTCCCTGGCTGGCAGTCCGGGCGCGGCCGCCCGGCCCGCTAGGCGCTGCCCGGCGTCCCGGCGGGGGGCGGTGCGGGGCACTGGGGCGGTGGCGGCTGCGGCGGCAGCGCCGCGCTCCTCATAGTGTCGGGCCCCTCAGCTGCCCTCTGCTCCGCGACACTCCACTCGGCGCCGGCGGCCGCCCTCCTAGCACTCCGTTCCGACCGTCTCGGCTCGGCGCAGCTCTGCGCCCCTCAGCGCCGCCGTGCGGGCCCCGCCGCCGCGCTCCGCTCCGCTCCCTCGCCCCGCGCCGCTCCCGCCCGTCCGCCCGCTGCCCGCTCCGTGCCGATCCCTGCCTCACTCGCGCCCTCCTAGGCCCGCCGGCCGGCCCGCTGCCCGGCCCTTCGGGCTTCGCTCGCGCTCTGGCTGTTGGCTGGGGCCGGTCCCGGGCCGGCTGCGCTCCGGCTGCTAGCCTGCTGCTCCCGGAGTTCCGGCTCGCGCGGGCCACCTGGCTCCAGGCGGCGCCACAGGCGCCGGACGCGTACGCCGGGCTTTACTTAGTGCGCTTCTCGCTTCCGCCTCTCGCCCGCACCGCTGTGGCGGCTGCCGAGCGGCACGGCCCCGTGTTTCCCGCTGGCCATGCCCCCTCAGTCTGTCGCCATCTTCCGCTGTGCGGAGAACACCTTGAGAGCCCGTGAGCGAGTGTGTTGGGGGGGGAGCGGGGCGGAGAAAGAGGCACCAAGAGGAGGAGGGAGCGGGACTGGGGCCCCGACTGCGCCTGCGCCTCAGGACTCTTTCCACCCCCCCTACCCCCCCTACCCCCCCACCTCAGCCCCCGCCGGCCGCAGCCTGTGCTGTTTGGGGATGTTTCCAGTCCACCCCCAACTCCATTCACTTCAGCGCCTCCGTTCGTCCGCCCGCTCCCCGCGTGCACACGCCACACGCCGAGTCCCAGGCCCTGGTGCTCCCCCTCCCCCGCCAACCCGGTAGCCCGCCTGCTTGCCCAGGGCGGCCGCTCACTCCCCACGAGGACTAGGGGCTTTCTGAGGGTAGTTCTTGGAAGCAGAAGGCATCTCCATAGCGTCTCGCTGCCTCCCTGGGTCGCCTCCCCCATCCCCGTGACTAGGCGACGCTACAGCCGGCTGCGGATCGGACCAGTCCAGAGTCCCTAACTCCGCTTTCGCCCTCACCGTCCTGCCCGAGGCCAAGGCGGCCCCTGGTGCTGAAGGACAGCTCCCAGCTTAGCAGCTGTGCAGGACACAGTTTGGAGAGCGTCCTGGAGGGGGCAAGACAGTGGGCTAAGATATTTAGTAGTGATGGGGTGTCATTTCTGCCCTTAGTAAGATTTCCAGCAGCCTCTTCCAGGTCCTAGCTTCCTGGCTCCCCCTATAGGGCTGATGAGAATAGACGAGCAAGAGTTAGGGAAGCTGCGCCGCCCGGATGGAACCATGTGCTTGGGCCCTCACACAATCACATGGCACTAGGAACTCAAACGAACAAACGCTCTGCCACGCCACTAACCTTGTTTGGATTCTACCAAATTTCTAAGTGTCCCGGTTGGCTACTTCCTTTACTCACCTCGTCCCACTCCCAGTAACTCCCACATTGTGATTTTTAATCAACCATTACCTTAAGGATTTGTTAATATTAAGAATAATAATAAAAAAACTCTGTATTGAATGTATTCTAGGTGTTCAGTTACTGCTCTAGGCAATTTACAAGCATGACTTCATTTAATCTTCACAACAATCTTATGAAGCAGGCAGTACTGTTGTCTTTATTTACAAATGAGGAGGCTGGGGTTTAGAGTGGTTAAGATGCCTAAGGTCACACAGCTTGTAACCAATGAAGCCAAGATTTTATTTATTTATTTATTTATTTATTTATTTATTTATCTATGTATTTATTTATTTTAAATAGAGGAGAAGGCGGGGAGAAAAAGAGTGAGTGAAATATCGAGCTGCATGTTGGGCCTCTAGCTCGCCCCCAACCTGCCCCCAAGCAGGGACCTGGCCCACAGTCCATGCCTGAAGAATTGAACCAGTGACCTTTCCGTTCCCAAGCCAGCGCTCAACCCACTGAGACACAGCACTCAGGACCCTAGAGCTCTTTTAACACTCCAGTAAAGCCCCGGGAAATGAATGCATGGAAGACACAGTCCTTCCTGCCTTACAGGAAATTACAGTGTACATGAGGAAACAGGGTGCATATGTTGGCTAGCAGGAGGATTTATGGACTGGAGACTTGGGTTCAGGTAATAAATAGTTCTACCACTGAACATGTCTTGTGTCCTTGAGAGAGTCCTTTCTCTCTCTGAGTCTTGGTCTTCCCCTGAGTATCATGAGGGGATGCCAAGGGCTAAATAAGATAGATGGGAATCATTGGCACTACTAACAGGTTGGCCAGGGTGGGCTGGGATGGTAACAGGGAAGAGTTTCTGGAAGAGGGAGAGTTTGAGCTGGTTCCTAAAGAAGCAGCATGATTGAGTGGGTGGTTGGGAAGGGCAGTCCAGGTGAAAGGAATGCAAGTGAAAAATTTCAGGGATAAGGAGCTTTGCATAGTGGTGAAGCCACGAGTGTGACAGTTTGGCTGTATAGGTGGTGAGAATTCATGGGAAAGGGAGTAGAGGGATATGAGACAAGGAACAAAAATATCAGGCATTTGGGAGGCCTGTTCATTCATTATGTTTCAAGCACTATGCTGGGGACTAGGTAGGAGACTCAGGTGGATCAGACATGGCTCTGCCCCGACATGCTCACAGGTGAATTAGGGAGGCAGACATTTTAAAGGAGGCATTGCAACCTGGTGGAATAAGAATAATATGAGTGGGAGGGAGGAGAGGGCTCCCTCTTATAGATGGGGACACTGATGACTGTCAGCTCTCCTCAGAGATGATTTTGCACAGAGCCATTTGAGCTGGGGGCCATTTGTTCAATTTATTTATTCAGCAAATGTGTATTGAGGATTTATTATGTTACAGACCCTGTACTAGGTGTCCAAGATAAAGAAATGAGTAAAATACATGCCTGGTGCTGAAGGAATTTAGCTGAAGTCTTAAGGGATGAGTAAGAATTGGACAGACAGCAGAGAAGGTGGTGTGTGAAGGATGTCCCAGGCAGAGGGAATGTCATGTGTTAAGGCCCAGAAGCAAAGCCAAGAATGGCATGTTCAGAAACCCGCAAAGTAGTTCATTGTGACTAGGTGTGAAATGGGAGCACTTCCAAAAATGAGGCTGAGGATTTGGCAGGAATCAAATCACGAAAGGCCCTGGGTGCCATACTAAGTAGTTTGGACTTTATCCCAAGGGTACTAAGAGCCACAGAAGAGGTTGAGAGATTTTCAGCAGATTTATATTTTTAGAAGATTCATTTCGCTGCAGGATGGAGGCTGGATTGGAGTAGTGGTTGGGAGGAGACTTGAGGCAGGGAAACTGGTTGGGAGACTAGTTAGTAGTCCAGGTGAAAGATGTTAAGGGCTGAACAAAGAATGCAGCATTCCGCTAGGGAGAAGGGAGGGAAATAACAGAGGTAAAGCTGAAAGGACCCAGGATAAGCCTAAATGGAAAGAATAAACTAGGGACAGGGCCTGAAGAAAGAGGATGAAACCAAAGGGTTTGACTTAGTGGCACTGGCATGATTGCTCCTGCCTACCTAGAAATTGTTTTCTTCCCAGAGCCATTCTTTGTTCAGTCCTTGGAGGGTTCAGTGTTCTGTTTAACAAAGAAGGCTAATCGCTTACAGATACCTAGTTCAGAGCTGATTGGCATGGCTGCAGTGATTGACACACCCGAGTTCCAATGAATGAGCAGGCTGCCATGCCTAGGCTATCAGCGCTAAGCACCTCTGAAGCTTTCTGGGAGAAGTCACTCAGGCAAGACCCCTCCCTCTCCTCCAGCACGCACAGGGTGAAAAGTGTCTCACAAAGGTCCATTTATCCCAGGAGCACAACATAACAGTAGCTTACCCACACAGTACCCACTGAACACAAAAGAGAAGAGGTAGCACCCCAGCGTTCAGAAGAAGCTCTCATTCTCTTGCTGTAGATGACACAAGAAATTGGGATCAGGAGAGGGAAGACATTGCCATCTAATCAAGCCCCTGGAGCAAAATACCCCTGTGGGAAGGGGGTTATTGCTTCCCAGAAATGGTGCATCCCTGCCTGCCTTCTTCCAAGCCCTTTCTCCCCACCTACTTGCAGGTCTGAAGAGGCCAAAGACAGGATAAAGGTGGGTTACTTCTGAGGGCCCCAGAGTGTCCAGGAAGAGTGATAGGGTGCTGTCAAACTGGGGAGGGAACAGACCCCTTGGAGTAGAGGGATGAGGGGAAGGATTTCCCGTGGTGAAATTCTGACAATTAGGGAGAAGAAAAAGCGGGAGCCATTTAAAGAGATCAGTGTGGTTACACACTTGTTAACTTTCTGTTAAACTCAGATTTTAAAAGGTCATGGGCAAAAGATGGAAGCAAGAAGTTAAGGGTGAATCTAAGAACTTGTGAGAACAGTGTCAGGATGCTTAATGCACAGCTTCAGCTGAAGCTGTTCAAACTCTGCCTGGATCACACCTTCTGGTTCCCCCCTCCCTGCATAGTTGGGGTAATTTCCCTTCACCTGCAGGCTACTACACCTGTCCTAAGATAGGAAGGTTTGAAATAGCCCCTCCCTACATGTTGGAACTCAGCATCAAGTAGTATTTTTTTGCCACCAGTCTGTCTGACCTCAAGTTTCCACTTAGCCTCTACCATATTGCTCAGTTCTGATCCCTAGCCATCTGTGTCATGTTCTATGTCTCAGTCCTGCAGTCAGAGACCCTGCCTGACCACCAGTCCCCTGTCAAGGCTTAGGCCGAGCCATGGTCTTTTAGTTTACCTTCTAAGGTGACAGTCCTGACCCTGAGCTCCACCCAGTGCCTGAGGCCTGATGGCCTAGTGATGGATTCCTCTGATCTCAACT